GGTCACCCTATATGAAGGGCATAAACTCCAGGTCACCCTATGTGGAGGGTAGGAACTCCAGGTCAGCCAATGTGGAGGGCAGGAACTCCAGGTCACCTTAACTCCTCTAATTCATGGATGTGCTTCCATTTTCTGTATACAGGTTTTTCATAATTTTTTTGCTAAGTTTATTGCTAAGAATTTTGTTTCCTAATGTTATTGGAAATATATCATTTCAAATCTCATTTTTAGAACATGTGAGAAAGGGTCTTACTGGGTAGTCTTGGGTTGGCCTGGAACTCTCCAGGTAGACCAGGTGAGCCTCAGATTCACAGAGCTCCATCTGCCTCTGTCTCTTGAGTGCTGGGATCAAAGACATGTGTATCACACCTGGCCCGCTGTTTTAGTCAGAGTTCTCTAGAGGAAGATAACCAAAGATCTCTCTCTCTCTCTCTCTCTCTCTCTCTCTCTCTCTGTGTGTGTGTGTGTTATATATAAATATTTTAGTATATTATTGTTGTTGTTAAAAAATATAATATGGGGTGTTCCCCGAGCGGCCTGCGAGCCAGGCAGAAGCTGCCACCGGAGCGGTGCAGGTTCCCCACGGCGATCGGCAGAGGGTTCATCCCGGACAGGCTGGTACCAGCCATGCGGCCAGGCGAGTCAGGCAGGCAGGTGACCAGGTGCAGCGGATAAAAGACTTACAGGACATAGTAAATAGACGTAAGGCTAAACATAAAGATAAATATTTATTACTTAAAGAAGAGGGAGAGAAAGACATGGAGACAGACATAGAGACACGTGTGCACACACCAAGAGAGGGGGACAGAAAGAAGGGGTTAAGATGGCGAGGAGGGGGTCAGAAGTGGCTGGGAGTGGGCGTGGCTTGCCCTTAAAGGGACTGGAGCAAAAGAATAACAATTATAACATATAAAATATACAATATAATGTTATAATATATAACACATATTATATATGATATATATTATTTATTAAGTAAGCTTTAAAATAGTAAAATGGTCAAATCACACCTGAGATGCTGGGTGCCTCAGTAGCCAGGGTGACCCCAGGATAACTGCCACTCTAGAAGGCCTACTGACAGTCACTCGGTCTAAAAGGAGGGGGGCCTTAGTAGTTATAATCTGGCTCCAGAATTCTGGAGGGTTCCTGTAGAGCTGCTGGTTCCTCTTCCAAGATGGAAGTTTGGAAACACTGTCTACAGTCAGTGAAGGAAACAGCAGCGGCAGCAGTGGCGCAAATCAACTCTGTGGCACGAGAGGGGCAAGCCGGCGAAAGGCAAGAGCTAACTTCCCCCCTGAAATAGCCTTTTCATCTGCGCTCCTACTAGAAGGTGCCAACCACCATCCAGGTCATGTGGGTAAGGCAGTCTTCCTGTAATCATGACCAGATTTGCTAGCTAGCTTAGACAAGCTGGAAGGTTCTGGATTCAAATGAAACACTCAGCCCAGTAGATAAGGTGGACAGCAACTGAGGGAAAGACACTCAGAGTTAACATCTGGCCTCCACATCTGGAACACGCATGTGAATATATATGCATATGTACATGGACACACAACACAAATGCATACACATGCAAAACAAACAAACAAACAAACCAAAACCCTACATTTTCATTTCTGATTTGAGTTTCATAATAAGTTGCTGGCTTGGGAATAGGAGAGAATTTCCAACAAGTTGTGACATGGCTTTAATATACACCAGTCATTTTATACTGCATGTTTATACAAAGTGGCATCCTCAGCACTGAATATTTCTTGTTTTTTAAAAAATGAAGTTTCTGTTTTCTTGAGACAGGATCTCATGTGGCCCACTCTGGCTTTGAACTCACTCTGTAGCCAAGGCTGGACTTTAATTCATGATCACCCTGACTCTAACCCCCATGTTCTGGGATTACAGACATGTATCAAAACATTTGGTCTAAAATCAAAATATTGATCAACTCTGAAAAATGTTGATGATGATGTCTTACAGCATCAAATATTCAGCAAATAGTTATTTTATGTAAAAATAAACAAGTACAACCATCTTCTTAGAATATACATGTTTTTATTTTAATAAATGCTAAAATTATATGTAAAACTATTTTGATGTTTTATGATTTATTGTCAGTGAATATTTATTTATATACCTATAAACACCAGTGTGTGTAAAAATTCTCAGGTAAAAGAGATCACAAGCAAAAGTTTAAGAAGCCTTGAACCTAATATGCACATCTTCCCTACCCCAACCCATGTACATGGAATTTGGCGCTAACTGGAGTAGGGTTGTTGGGCCAAAATTATTCAGGGCCTGTACCTCGAGGCCTGTAACAGAGAAAAGCTTGGCTCGAGTTTGAAGGATAGGCAAAGCTACTGAGTGAGGATGAGACAGCAAAATCTAGGTAGATGCCCCTCCAGTCAGAGGGAGGGCTTGGCTGTCTCTCATTGGCTGGAGGTACCCCCACATCACACCATGTCACTTGACCTATATAAGCTGATGCTCACAGTAATAAACTGAGTTCCTGCCTTGACTTGACTCCCTATCGCATCTGATTGCCCCACGTTGTGGGGCTGCGGAATGGGCGGATAGCGCACTTACCTTTCCCTGGGGAATAAGGCTGAGGAGGCCTGGCAAGTGTAATCTGGCATGATATGCTGGGGTGTGATCAAAGTTAGTGCTTGGCATCGTCCTGCTGTTACTCAACATGAACACTCTCGTGTGGGGTGGTATGATGTGATGCTGTGCTGTGACGTGGTACGATGTCGTGGTGTGACGGGGTGTTATGCTGATGTGGTGTGGCACGTTGTGGCAGCGTGGTTTGGCGCTGTGGTGCTGTGCTGTGGCACATTGTCACTCACGTGGAATCGTGGTCCGTCCTCTGCAGAGTATGCAGCTCCACTGGGACAATGACCAAATGGTATTGAGGTAGTTTGGGCTGTCAAGATGAAGTGGCAATTTAGTGACGTTCTTGGGCATGTTGGCTTCATATTTAATGAGAAAGCAAATCTTTATGCCATCCTGCAGCTGTTCTATTGAATAATTAGACGCATGCTTTATGACCCAACAAAATGTACAAATCTCAGGCTGACACAGAACCTCTCACCCAGACCAGCCCAGCCCAGCCCTTCACCCTATTGATTATAGGACAGAGACAGACATCATACGAACATGCCATTTAGAACTATATTTTAAAGTTTCTTATATAAAATGAATCACAACTCATACTAATTCTGAGAGGAGATAGGCGTGGTTTTAGAGCATGTGAGTGGCTGTGGCTGGCTACAAGGTGAATCAGCCTCAAACACCAATATTCCCCCAGGAATTTCTGAGCAGAGCTAAACATTGCAATCAGTTCTGAACTTTACTACTTGGATTAATTTACATGCTTTTATCATATGAAGCTGCATCTTACACACTGTATCCATGAATCCAGGTGCGTAGCCATGTTTTCATCTTATTACCCTCTAATAGAGAATGTCTCCTGGATAAAATTGTTCTCTACCTACCCTTACTCATGTCCTATGAAGAGATTCACTAGAAAGCTCCTTTTGTTTTGGTTGGTGTTGGTTACACCGCTCCAAGTGTATCGGAGGCAAATCTTTGATTCATTGTCTTTGGAAGAGAGGATATTAGAAAAAGGACACTGATGCCAACCCAGAAAACTAGCTCAGAATGTAGAGGGCAGGCTGAAGGGCAGAATTTAGAACAACAGGAAAAGAAACAGGGAGGGGGAAGCCAAATGATAGTTTGACTGAAGTTCTTAGTTCTTCAGTACTGTTTGTCTACCCAGGGCTCCCACTGCTATCAGAGTTCAGACAGAGGAACCATGCTCCACTCACAGGTAATGATAGTTGTCCTAGCATCCCTCAATCTTCAACTTTGCCTCTTTCAAGGTCATTCTGCACCTGCTGATGATTTTTCGTTCTTGACCACCTCCCTGGCCACTGCTGCCACTTGCTGAAATCATGTCTGCTATAGCTTAGACGAGCAATGTTCCCTAAAAGGATCACGTGTTGGGGGCTTCTCCTCCAGCCAGTAGTCTTCATTGGGACAACAACAAATGGTTATTGGGAAATTTTGGGTTGTCTATATGGAGTGTCCCTTTAGTGATTTTCTTTTTGAGGTTCTGGAAATTTTAGGTGGCTCTCCACTCCATTCTCTCTCCTTCCTGCTCAGTCCCATGGAACCAAGCAATCATGGACTGGACATTCTGAACTGTGAGCTCAAATAAGTCTTTTCTCTCTTTACTGTGTTTATTTAGGTCAGATATCTGGTCACAGAGGTGAAGTGACATACACAGTGTCTAAGAGGCAAATTTAAGAAAAAAACATAGATATCAAGGATGCTGGGAGTAAGAAGTGGTATGATGTTTGATTTCTCTGTTGCCTGTAGTCTTGGTACTAGGTGACCACACTTTATCCTGTGCCTTTCTCTGTAGGTAATTGGCACCACTCTTATGGTTGGACATCGTGAGACCCTGCTCACTAAGGAAGAAAGCTAGAGAGGAAAAGCCACTTGCTTTGGTTTGGCTCCTTCTGGCTGTCCTACAGATCTTGAACCAGACGGCTCTGCACCATAATTTATAGCTGGTATTTCCTAGTAACTTGTGGCTATAACAGAAAGGAAGGTGCGTTCCTCGCAGCAAGGGCTAGTTAGTGTTCTGCCGGGGACATCAAAATTGACTGAATTGTTGTCTATGTGTTTGTAGATACCTTTCTTTTTTAAAAAATTTATTTATTTATTATGTATACAGTGTTCTGCCTGCATGTACATCTGCAGGTCAGAAGAGGGCACTAGATATCATTACAAATGGTTGTGAGCCATCATGTGGTTGCTGGGAATTGAACTCAGGACCTTTGGAAGAGCAGCCAGTGCTCTTAACCTCTGAGCCATCTTTCCAGCCCCCGTAGATACCTTTCTTATCATGGCTTCCCTACATAAATTTGCTATATTATGATGCATTATCGTCATCCCCCACCCCCAGGAGACCTGTCTTCCTGCAGGTGCCCTCCCTCTCTCCTTCCACACCTCCACCACCCCTCACATGACAGAACACTTCTGTTCTGCCGACTGCTTGATTTCTGTGAAGGTGGCCTGCGCCTTTTCTTTAATGGTATCCAGGTCCATGTTCTGGAGGTTCTGCAGCTGCCCAAGGATAGAATCCTTTTCCTCTTCCTCATCTTGGTCTTCATCTACCATCTTTCGGAGATCTTCTGGCAAGTCCACATCATCCCCAGCCAATTGGATTTGCGTCTCATCCATTTCACTCTATGTGAAAAAATATGAAAAAATAACACAGAGAAATAACTCTGAAATTGGCCAACTGGAAAACTAGTTGAACAAACTGTAAACGCAGCATAAAAATAAAGGCCTGTCAGGAATGAGCGATGGGAGCAACAGGCTTGGCTGTTGTGTTGTGGCCCTGAACCTGGAGGCAGCGGCAGAGACTGCAGCTCCGTGGTGGAAGGTCCTTCCCTCTGACAAGATCTTTCTATGCCCAAAGTTTTCCTGTTGGGAATATTATGTTAAGGTTGTTGCTTTTGTTTATGTTGCATTTGTTTAACTCTGTGAGCTGTTCTGCTTTGACTGTCTAAAACAGCTGATGGTCTAATAACCGGACTTGACGGTCTGAATGACCAACAGCGAGGCAGGAGAAAGGAGAGGCGAGGCTGGCAGGCAGAGAGAATATACAGAAGGAGAGATCTGGGAGAAAGGCTAAGGAGAAGGCCGGAGAAGGAGGAGGGCATCAGGGGCCAGACATCCAGTTACACAGCAATCCACGGAGTAAGAGCAAGATTTACAGAAGTAAGAGAACCGGAAAAGCCCAAGGGAGAGGTAGATGGAATAATATAAAATAATCTAAGAAAAACTGGCAAGAAACAAGCCAAGCTAAGGCCGGGCACTCATAACTAAGAATAAGCCCCGTGTGTGATTTCTTTGAGAGCTGGGTGGCAGGTCCCTCAAAAGAGTGAAAAAGAGCAAAAAACATCATACTACTATTGCGTTTTCCATCTGTGCTCCCAGAGCAAACAGCCCTGGCACAGTCTAGGAGACTGTTAGACATTCTGTGACCTTACTTATCCCAGACCTACTGGATCAGAAACCCTGGCAACAGTACCCAAAAATAGAAGTCCAGAAGCGCTCTAGCACTCCCCACCTCCCCTCCCCTCTGCCCTCTCTCTTTCTCTCTGACTCTATTTTTATTTTACGTGTGTGGGTTTTTTGTCTCATGTATTTGGATTATGCACATGTGGTGCCTGGAACTGCAGTTACACATGTTTTTGAGCCACCACGTGGCCTCCACAGACACAGGCATGCCATGGTGACCCTGGAAGCCAGAACAGGACATTGGATCCCCAGATACCGAAGCTACAGACTGTTTTGAGTCACCATGCCAGGTGGGTGCTGGGAACTGAGCACAGGTGTTCTGGAAGAGCAACCGATGCTCTTAACTGTGAACCACATCTCCAGCCCCAGAAGCCCTCTCTGTCTGCACACAGAAGCTGGGGGTCCATCCCAGCTCTTTCTCAGAGCAGCACTATAAATTCTGCACAGCCTGTCAGCCTTATGCATGACTCGTGAGTTTGGTTGACCCTCATTCTAGGGGTGGCATTTGAGTTGGCAGTGACCACCCGCATGACCTTTTATATTTGAGCAGCAACTCCTGCTTAACCATTGCTCCTTCTTTCCCTTCTGCTGTCCTGGGCCTCCCTCAGGGACACAGAATCAGGTGGGTTATAGGCATGGTTCCTTGTTGGCACTCTGCGTGACTGGCTCTATTGCCAAGTAACCTGGATGCAGCAGGATTTTCTAGTGTGCTGCCCCTAGGCTCCTGTCCTTTATGCTGCAGAGCTCTTAGCCATGAGAAAAAGCTAGAGAAAATCAAAGTTTCCTTGGGAGAGGTTCGGAGTAGCTTGTGTCCCAGATGACAGCTCTCAGCCAGTTTCTATCAGGTTGTAACGTATGGTGAACTTTATTTCAGGACTACAGAGGGGGAAGTAAAGGGTATTAAAACGGCGATGATAGAAAAGGCCTGTTAGCGCCCACCCTGTAGGTTTTGTTCAGCCTTATATTTACTATTAACGCTCACCAAGTCACTCGTGGTGACTTATTACTTTTAATCAGGTCACACTGATTTGAATTAAGACAGATTAGTATCCGTTGAGCTCCTTGATAAAGTCACCACCTAAGGGAGATGAAAGCGCCCCTTGCCTGGGTGCCGAGCAGAGATGATCAGAAACCAATTGTCGCGAGATCTGGGAGGTACATTTTAGGATAGCACATGTACTATTCTCTATCTCTAAATGGGTTTGGAGGGACATGGTGGCTGAAGTCATCCCGCACCTCTGAAGTTCTCTAGGCGAGCCTTGGGGATGTAGAACCCAGCAACCTTTCCCTAGGGTCCCAGTTATCTGGATCCGAGTAGAGTGACAGCGAGTCTGGCTCTAGAATGAGCTTGGGAGGCATGTGCTGGATGCTTTGGGGGAGATGATCCTCACACAGGCTCTCTCTATAAACCTCCAACTCAGCCTCTGGAGATGAGGTAGCCCAGTACTGCACTTGACACGTGACTTAGCCCCTCCCAGTGCTTACGGGATTAATTAGTTCCTACTCAAAGCATTGTGAGAGTAATTAGTAAATCCCCAGGGGTCTCCCAGCCAATTCTGCATTTCCATTTGTTTTTATTTACCTATTCGCTTTTCTTGTAGATTATCCTCTGGGCATTTCTGCTGGAGTAGTGAGAAAAAGACTTCATTCAGTTCTCTTTGAGTTCCTGCAAAACAGGAACATCGCACCCCCAATCAAATGTAAATGATTTAAAAGACAATCCTAGGGGTCCTGGCTCTTCCCCTGTGATCAGGAGTAAAATCTCTGTATTCGGTCAGCAGGCTGAACTCTGGAAAGAATGCCTCTGGGCAGAGCGACCACTGTGGGCCTAGAGTTCAGCACTGGAAGGCAGGGGGACGCATATGTGTGCCAGCCAGCCAGTGAAACACCAAACCCACACTCCTACAAAGGACAGGAATCTCGCAGCCCCATCTGCCTGGATAACCTAGCACAAAGCATTCCTCTTAAGCATCCAAGAAAGTGTCTTAATGGCTTCCTCCCTCATCCACTTGTCCAGGGAAGATGCAAGGTTGGGATCCACCCTGCCTGACAAGGTGGGGGAGGGATCTCCATCACCCCACTTCCACAAAAGTTGCTCTCACAATGGGACTCCCTCTGGCAGCAACAGCATCACTGAGACCTTCCTAAAAGTGAATTCTGGGGTCCTACCCAGAGCTGCCGATCCAGACACTTAGGGCAGGCTAAATTTGATCTAGTCCCGGGATTTCTGGTGCTACTACTCAAGCCCGGGGCCCCCGCCACTTTACAGTTTTTGAAGGTGGATGCAGTTTGCTCGCCTTTCTTCTGAGTTCAGCAGAATCTAATATGGGGACACAGATCATACCTGTTATTTGCTCAGAGATCCTACAGCATCCTCCTCACTATGACGAGTTCTGTCCTCAGGGCTATCCTCCAAGATGAGTTCTGTCCTCAAAGCTACCCACTAATTCTCATACTCGCATTGGGGGTCAAGTCATAGGCTGAAGAGTTCAGTTGCCCAATGAGGCTGCAAGCTACCCACTTACAGTTGCTCCACCACACCCAACCTTTCAGAACTTTATTTCCTTCTATATAAACTAAAGCTCATATCGAATGGGATTGTCAGATGATCAGTGAGCTGGTCCTAGAGCTAGGGCTGGCTTAATGGGTGTCATTTGTGAAATTTGTAGCCTCCAACTGTCTTCCTGCAAGGTGGCCTGCAGTATTTGGGAGGCTGAAGGGAAGCCAGAAGACCTGGGGTCAAGTCCCAAATCTGTCAATCACGCTGTTACCTGGAGCACCTTATTTTCCATGTCCAAAGCTGAGTGGAAGGGTCACTCAGAGTATACCAAATAAGACATGCTGTGAAAACTCCCTGCCCCAAATCCCAGCTCTGGGAAAAGGGTAGCTGTGGTTAGGAATACTTCAGAAGAAGGCGAGAAGCTGTGTTTAAGCTCCTGCTGAAAGGGTCCTTGGGAAAGAGAAGGCCTGAGACAGTCTAAAGTAAAGGGTGAGAGAGCTCAGACAGGAGCCAAGGCCATGCAAACAGGAGAGTGGGCAGGGTGGATGGAGCAGACAAGGAAGCTTTGTTTCCACCTCCCCTAGGGAACGGTCTGCTGCTGGGACCCTGTCTACTTCTGGATCGTGACTGTTTTACCCAGGCTTCCTACTGCCCAGAGATAAAACGTAGGCTGGGAGACCATGAACATCCTGACACTGTTCACACCCCAGGAAAGGCAGTCATGCCTGTTACAGCCCCCTTTACACGAGTACAAGTAGAGATGAGAGCCAGGATCGCTGTGGGGGCTGGAAGCAGCTCTGGGAGGGGGCCAAGTCTAAAGGGGTTGACAAGAAAAGTCAGTATACAACCAGAGGACACAGGGGCCATACTTCATTCTTAGGGTTTTTCGTTGATCCCATTTCTAGAATTATATACCCCCCATTTATTTCTTTCTATTTTCTTTCTTTTTTTGACATGGTCTCATTCAGTCCAGGTTTGCCTTCAACTCACTATGTAGCGAAGGGTAGCTCTGAACTCCTGATCTTAGCCTCTACTACTCAAAGGCTGGAATTAAAGGTGTGTGCCATCATGTCCAATTTATTGTTGTTACTGAGACAGAGTTTGACTCTGCAACTTTGCTGGCCTGGTTGTCACTAAGGAGCCTGGCTGACCTTGAATTTTTGGCAATCCTGCTGTCCCAGCCTCCCAAATAAGTGTTGAGACTACAGGACAAGTATCAACTGGCTGGCTCTCATTTCTGGCTATCACCTTTGGGACATTTTTGATGCAGCTAAGTACAGACTATTTCTATGCAAGATTATCTTAACCTTTTAATTTTCACCAGACTTGTAGTCTTTGTTGCCAGTCTGGATACCCTGTTATTTAAACAGCCCCATATTCTGAGAGTGTCCTTCCCTATGACTGACCCCTGACCTTTTGCCCAAGAGTGAGCCTAACCCTGGATCTCAGATTTCCTTTTCTCTGGGTTTTGCCCCTTCATCTCTGATCACACTTGAGATGAAGTAATGTCACTGCAGATGGTTTTGCCTTCATGAAGTTGAGTGTGACTAAGCCAATACCTGTTTGAAGTGAGGGGGATCTGGTTCCATTTGAGGCTTGCCTGCTTATTTTGGGTGTGTGATATATCAAACAGCTGGGTGGGTAGGTGTTTCCTGTTATA